GATTAAACTCCTGCTGCAGTAGCTGCCAACTGCTTGATAGCGCTGTCTTTAACCCCTGTGCCACCAGAGAGACCCCAGGACATATTTCTTATTAAGTGTCCTTGTCAAGTGCCTTTGAAGGGATTTCTTTAGCTGTTATTTCTGTAATATATGATACCATCTATTTTAAGTCTCATTATTAAGTCCTCTGCCATAAATCTCACTGTCACTGTTTTTTAAGATGTTTATCAGAGAAGTTTCTAAATTTTAATACTTGGAAGAAAGAAAAAAAGTGCAACAGTATACCAACAAGAATTTAACAAATGGCAAGTTCAAGACCAACCACTCAACCTTTCTGCTTAGCAATGATGAACAATTACTTCTTACAGAGTAGAAAACATGGTGAATAAGGCTATTCATATACACACATACGCGCGTGCACACACATATACACACAGTGCTCAAGAAATTGGATCTGGCAGCAGTTTGACTTTAAATCAGGAGAGGTGAATGATTCTGAATAAGTTAGATAAAATGATTAGAGCTAACTCTTGGATCACATACCTCAGAGAATTTAATAAATATACAAGTAAGGTTAAAGAAACAACCAGGAGACTCCACCAGGTGGGGGAGGCCAGAGTTTTGATTCCCACGTGGCTGACACAGTTCAATTAAAAACATGTGCCTGTCTAGCAACTGTACTCTCATTCCCAAAGAGATTAATATGTAAAACTGGCAGATGACAGAAATTAAGTGGAGACCAAATAATTTTGCCAACTACAGTTGATTATTCACTAGCTCTAAAAGACAGATGTTAAAGGTATATGAAACAATGTTCAACATCACTTGTAATCAGGGAAATGCAAATCAAAACCACAAAGAGGTACCATCTTAAACCAGCGAGAATTGCACATATTAAAAAAAAACAGCAAACAACAAATGTTGGCAAGAATGTGGAGAAAAAGGAACTCTCCTGCATTGCTGGTGGGAATGCAAACTGGTCCAACCACTATGGGAAGCTGTGTGGAGATTCCTTAAACTACTAAAAATGAAGCTACCATATGACCCAGCAATTTCACTCCTAGGAATCTACCCAAAGAACACAAAAACATTAATTCAAAAGGATACCTGCAGGGCCTCACTGGTGGTGAAAGGGGTTAAGGTGCAGCACTGTGAAGCAATGCACAGCCACTGCAGCACAAGTTTGATCCCCGGCCAAGGGGCTACCCACATGGCACGGCAGATTTCTCCAGTCTCCCTGCTGCTCCTCTCAGCAGTGTATTTCAGTGGATCCGCCTGTTCTGTTCCCCACTGTCTCTAGTAAATCCTCTCACCTCTGGCCTGTACCCCAGTTCTTGTATGCATAAATAAAACTTTTCTTAAAAAAAAAAAAAAAAAAAAAAAAGGATACCTGCACCCCTAAGTTTATTGCAGCACTATTTACAACAGGTAAGATACGGAAATAAGCCAAATGCCCAAAAATAGATGACTGGAACAAGAAGATATGGTATATATACACACGATGGAATTTTATTCAGCAATCAATCAAAAAAGATAAACTCGTGCCATTCGCAGCAACGTAGAGGGGATTATGCTCAGCAAACTAAGTCAGAAAGAAAAAGAAAAATATCGGATGGTTTCACTATAAGAGGAATGTTAGGGAACCAAATAATCAGGAAAAAAAATAATTATAATAAACTAAAAAACAAAATTAACAGGCACCTATTAATCAGTCACACACTGCAGGGGAGGAGGAAGGCTCAAAACAGGGGAGGGAAGAATACAACGGATTATGGTGATGGTGCACGGGTAAACTGGTGGTGGGAATTTTACAGGGACTACACCCGAGAAGAGGAAAGCTATACACTGTACAAAAAGGAAGAACGATGTAAAATATATAAATAAAATAAATGTAAGGAGAAAAATAAAGACAGATGTTGAAAAACAGATTTCCAGAGATAAAGATGCACCCACAAGCAAAAAGACTGAAGGAGAGGGGCCTCCTTCAGAGGTGGCGCAGCAATTGAGCGCTGGGTTCTGCACAGCTTCTGTAGTGCCGGTTTGATCCCCGGCTGCTCCCCGGCCACCGGAGGAGGGTCCCACAAGGCGCACAGACCTCTCCTGCCGCCCACTGCTCCCCTCAGCAGTGTACTTCGGTCCTGCCTGCTCTGCTCCCCGCTCTGGCTCTAGTGAATTCTCTCACCCTCCCACGCTTCTGACTGTACCCAGTGCGTGTGTAAATAAATAAATAAATCTTTAAAAATAAATAAATAAAATGTCTATTTTAAAAAAAAAAAAAGACTGAAGGAGAGAATGGGAATGTGGCAACACAACAAAATACTTTGGAGCAGCTAGCCCTTGACTATTTTAGGGATATGACAGCAAGCTATAAGAAAAACTCAGAAGGGGCCTTCCTGGTGGCACACTGCTGCAGGAGTTCAATGCCTGGCCAGGGAGCTAACCTGCCTCTCCGGCCTCGTCTGCTGCTCCCCTCAGTAGCGTACTTCAGTCCTCTGCCTGTTCTGCTCCCCACTGTCTCTGATGAATCCTCTCACCCCCAGCACCTATGGCCTACATCCCTGTTCTTGTATGCATAAACAAACAAACCTTAAAAAATAGAAAAACAGAAAAGGGCCTCCCCAAGTGGCACAGCGGTTGAGCACTGGGCTGCGAAGCTGCCCGCAGCCTCTGCAGCACCAGTTCGATCCCTGGCCGCCGGTGAGGGTCCCAAACGGCACGCAGATCTCTCCTGCCATGCCCGCTGCTCCCCTCAGCAGTGTATTTCGTCGGTCTGCCTGTTCTGTTCCCCGCTCTGGCTCTGGTGAATTCTCTCACCCTTCTGTGCTTCTGACTGTACCCAGTGCTTGTATAAATAAATAAATCTTTAAAAAAAAAAAAAACAACAAAAAACAGGAAACCAGAAAATTGGGCCTCCCTGGTAGCCTTGGGGTTAAGTCTCAGTGCAACCATGGCTATGGCCTGAGTTCGATCCCTGGTCAGGGAGCTGACCCACATGGGGCAGCAGACCTCTCCTGTCTTGCCCTGCTGATTCCCTCACCAGTATATATCAGTCGATCCACATGTTCCGCTCCCCACTCTGTCTCTGGTGAATACAATCTTAAAAAAAAATTTTATTGTATGCATAGAACAGGGGCATAGGGGTATAGGCCAGAGAGAGGTATTAAGGGTGAGAGGATTCACCAGAGTCAGAGTGGAACAAGCGGGTCCACTACAGAAATTATAGATTGTATAGAGATTTCAACTAGTATAATGCAGAGTGGAAAAGGCATATCTACTGAAATACACTGCTGAGGGGAGCAGCAAGCGAGACAGGAGAGGTCTGCTGCGCCATGTGGGTCAGCTCCCGGCCAGGGACTGAACTTGTGCAGCAGTGCTGCAGATAGCTTCATTGCGCTCAGACACAACCCCTCGCACCACCAGGGAGGCTTGATAAAATAATTTTTTTTTTTAAAAGAAAAAAGTATACACACCAGTACCTCTTCAAGCTAATGTCTTCTAGCTAAATAAATGGGTATAAATAATTTATTGTAGGAAAGAATCCTGCTGTCTGTGCTTTCCTTCAAAGTGCATGATAAATAATTTTTAAAAAGAAATGAGCATAACACCACATTATGTGCATTATAAAATGTAAAGCACAACTGCAATGTCAGGTTATTTATTATTAAAGCCATATCTGAAAAATAATGTCAAAGCCTTATTATTTTGGCAGATTATAAAGTACTAAGATACTAAAAAAAAAAAAGTGTATTCTAACACTTTGTTAATCTTTTTCTCAAAATCTATTTGAAGTGATAATTTAGACAAAAAGAATAACTTAAATTTAATACAATAGTAAATAAAGAGAATTAAACTACACTACAGATAATTATACACTGTATAGAGATTTCAACTAATATAATGCAGCAGAAAATACTTATGGAAACTTTAGGGCAAGAAGGGTTAATTACCTAATCCTAGCTCAAATACTCAAGAAACTGGGTTTTTAAACCTTATACTACTGCAAGTATTAAATAATCTAAATATTTAACATAATATAGTTCCAATGGTCTGTCCTACTGGCAAATTATAATGCTATACTAAGATCAACCAATATCATTAGATACATTATCTAAATTAAGTGAATTTTATATTTTCTGAGTCAGCAATATAAATATCAAGATACAACAATACTCACAAATTAAGCTATGAGACCATAAGTATCTACTATTATATTTCCCCTGGCTATAACTTCCACAGTGTAAATGTGCATAAATCCTAACAAAAAAGTATACTGTTTTGGATAAGATTTCACTCTGCTCAACAGTAAAGGATTTTAAAAATCATTTTATTATTTCTGAATTAAAAGTGTAACTGCTGTATATATCGTAATTGCCTCTATTATCCAAATTTTTAAAAAGTTTAAATTGCTCTGAAGAATAGAGAAAACTATAAAGCAAAGCACAGCAATTACTCTTGTAAGGAATACCATTACTGCAAATTTAAATCATTCACCTGAAAAAAATCAAAGAAGGTATCCAAATCCCTCCTCTAAGAATAATGCTTAAAAAACTCTTTGTACAGGGCCTCCCCGGTGGCGCAGCGGTTGAGCGCTGGGTTGCGAAGCTGCCCGCGGCCTCTGCGGCGCCGGTTCGATCCCCGGCTGCTCCCCGGCCACCGGAGGAGGGTCCCACATGGCGCGCAGACCTCTCCTGCCGCCCGCTGCTCCCCTCAGCAGCGTACTTCAGTCCTTCTGCCTGCTCTGCTCCCTGCTCTGGCTCTGGTGAATTCTCTCACCCTCCCGCGCTTCTGACTGTACCCAGTGCATGTATAAACAAAAATCAAACAAAACAAACAAACAAATAAATAAAAACATGCCTCTATTAAAAAAAAAAAAGGCAAAAGCTGCATTAAAAAAAAAAAAAAAAACTCTTTGTACAATAATCCAACAAGAAATTATGACTTTATCAAGTAGTTCATTTTTGTGGTATATAAATAATCAAATAGGTTTAACAAGTACATACAGTTCCAGAGAGGACATCATGGGGGCAACAGTTGAGAAGGTGACTCTTGCATACTCTGTCATCACTGAATTTGATTCGTTGACGAGTAGTATCTCCTGTAATATAGAAAAGTTAATAACATTCAAGGTTAGACAACTGGAAAATATTTATTTTCTGAGAGCCCTACTATTACTAGCTTTTTATGTGTGGTTATATACACACACATTTATAAATCAGTTCAAGAGGGATTAGTTTTTTATATAATGTCCTAAAGAAAAACTATTTTAGACAACATGCAGTTGCAGTATGTGTACTGCAAATATAATTCAAATAGTCAAAGTGGGAAAGCAATGCATTCTGTTAAACAGAGTAATTGAGAAAAGCATAGGATTTCAGAGCAGGAATGGACCTTAGGGATTATTGAGTCCAATTCCTTTGTATGGCAGATGAGGAAACTGAGGCCCCAAGAGGTTAAGCAACTTGCAGCAAACCCACTAGGAGAGTTTCTACTGGTATACAAGGTTCCCTACTTGACACTAAGCATTGATTCATTTGTAATCGTTTACATTAATTGAAAAACATAAAAAGTAATCTTGCAAACATTGCATACACACTGCGAATCCCCACTGAACCCCAGACGCCATTTCTTCCACTATTTTGTTCCAGTTGAAGTGTCTCCCTTTTGCTGCTGGGAGGAGTTAGAGAGGGTAGAATAACGTGTTTAAGAGCGTACAAACCTGGAAGAAGGACTTACACACCAGTCAAACAAAGGCACATTGCCTAAATGAAAGGTTAACTTTTAATGCCTCCAAAGGCCCCATACCTTCAAGTTTTCTGTAGACTGTGCTATATATCGCCAAACTCGGTACATATATAATTATTCTGTCTTCATGTAACACAATACACCTCCTGAGCAACAGAAGCATCCAACTTGCTAATCAAATATGCCTATCTACTTGAACTTTAAAGAGTCTAAGAAAAAGGTAACTAGCTCTAGTAAAATACAGACGTTAGTTAAATTTTTTCCTTGGAATTTCTCTGGGGGGAAAAAAAAGAGAAAGAACTCTTAAGGATGTTTCCTCTATATAGAAAGATATGCCCTAAGAAATGTAGATGTTTTATTTTAGCTTTAAATTGATATTTTCATTGATGAATGAAAACCTACTGGTGAATTACTGAAGCGAGATCTGTTGATTCCAAAATAGATTGTAAATACTTCTCTGTAGATCACATGATGCCTGCAACTTGCCAAAAACTTTTAATATAGAAAGTGATTCAATTATTTAATTTGTGTTGCACATGTGAATAACAAGGTTAAACTTTACCCCTTTTATAAATTGCCTCATTTTGAAGAGTTTAACTCAAAAATCAATTAAATATTGTCATTTTTCGGTGGGGTAAGATTTTGTTCAAATTGTTTTAACAAGGTTAAAAAGACTTAAAGAACATTCTAGTATTTGTGATCAGGGTAGACAAAGTTTTAAGAGAGGTAATTCACAGCTAACATGATAGCTTCAGAGCAGTTCAACAATAGGTTTTCTAGAAGCTACGTCTCTAGTTAACGTAGGTTATTTTTGACATCACAATTTGGAATAATTCATTTAGTGTTCACGCCTGCTACTATAATAAAGGTTATTTTGATGGTTCTTTTTTCCTTTCAAAACACAACTACTTTGTTCCACATTCATTAACACATCTGAAAAGTTAGTGATAACTCACGGCTCGGCGAATGCGGGGCCTTTCTGACACTCCCTTGCAGATTGAAGTAGGCAGGCATAGATACATTGAACCTTTACAAATAAAACAAGGGGCCAGATTGTTCAGTTTGTATAGAATAGACTCTGCCAGCAATTTCAATACAGCATCTAGAACATGTTGATTGTAAAGATTCTTGTATATGGAAACAAAAGTGAACAAAATCAGGGTGTTGTTTTTTTTAAATACTGATTTAACAAGTGTAACTCTAGAGAAGAATATGACTGCCCACAAGTAAAAGTCAAAAGCTCGAGTGCTAGAAAGTGGTCTTTGGGACAAGTGCAGCTAAAAAAAAATTTTTTAAGTATATTTCATCAGGACTTTGGTGAGGGCCTGCAGTTCATGTCCAAACAATACTATGGTAAACTCATACAAGAAGGACAATGCAATATATTTTGAGGTTTTTTGCTTCCTAACATGAGAAAAAAGTTTTATTGGAAATCTGTACCCAAATTGTGCTAAGAAATTTAAAAATATGTATTTTTAAAGAAGAAAAATTTAAAAAGCTCTTCACATATCTAGGAATCTCCTTGCTAACAAGCATCAAAGCTTTTCCATAATGCAACAGCAGAATCTTTTCAGTGTTTTGTCAAATTAATGGCTCCAGAATATTATAAGCCAGGTCCCTAAAATAGTCGAGAGTCATAGGGGAAGTTTTACTAATTAAACTTTTTGTCAAGTAGAGCAACTGTTTCTGCTTCAGAAATCAGATCAAATCTAACATTAAAGTTTGTGTCCTGAAGACACAGCTTTCCGATAAAACATGAACAAACCAAATGTGAATTTGGCAAACATGTATGATGTATGTGCCTTTTAAGAATCAGTTCCTGTAATTTCCAAAGATTTTTTTTAATTTCAAAGTTTTAAAATAACTCCTTGCTAAATGTGAATGGGTACACTACAAAACGATTGATAACTGCAGCAAATAGAGTTATCAAGTATCAGTCTACACATTATAGAAACATTTAAAACAATGAAATAATAAAACCCCCAATAATTTGAGATACAGTGAGAGGGACTAGCAACTTAGCATCTGTTTATTGGTATTTTTCAAGCTTCACTTAACTAAGATTAACATTTGAAGACAATTTGGATACATTACCAAGAAGTTTTAATAACTTTATTTGGGCTTATGCCATGAAGTACATTGTGGCTAAACCAACAAAGGGTTTTCAAATAAAATACTGGTGATTTTAGTTTCTGTGAAGATATCTGGCCCAAACCATGTTTTTCAAAATAAACTAGGCAAAACAGCACTCACTAAGGGGGGAAAATGGGACAGGTAGACTACAACAAAAAAGAGGAAAAACATGAGTCAAATCTCCTTATGAGACATGGAATTATTTTACAAATTCAATATACTTTGGGTTTTCTGGGCATACAGTCATACCCAAATAACTGACGACTATGAAAAAAGGACTGCCCCGTTACACTAACATTAGACACAAATCATAGAAACAAACCTATTAGTGAAAAAATCCCCCTGTGCTAGGCAAAGGGGTCAAAAAGAGGCATAGAAGACAAGTCCTCTCTACCTTTAAGGAGTCTGTAACTTTGCTAGAGAAACAGGATACTGGAATGAAAAACAAGTAACAGTACAAGGTTGCATGATCCACGTGCCAAACAGATGTTTCAAACAGTAGTATCTCAGAAGTTCTAAGACTAAAATGACCATCAAGGAGTGGAGAGGTCAGAAAAGGCTTCAAGCAGTGAATAGAAGCCAAAATTTGAAGGACTGACAGGACTCAGACCAAAGGAAAAGATAGAACATCATTCCAAACTTAAGTGATCTCTTCAACAAAGCTTACAGCAACAGAAAGTTTGGGGAATGGTGTGTAAATCTTACTTAGCTTTAGCAAATGGTTTCACGTAGGAGAAGAGCAAAGTTGGGTCCAGAACAGTGATTTTTTTTAGACATCTAATTTCTTAAATAACTTTTTTAATATTTTTCTTCAATCCAGATGTTTAGTGTGCAAAGTAAAAAAGAAATTTTTTTTTGTTCAAATAACAGGGCAAAGATTAAAAGTATATGCATTAACAACAAAATGTCCTGCCCATAAAAACACGGAGGTCTCTCTGCCCCATAACATCTGCAATAATTGGGCGTTGGACGTAAACACAATGACAAGTTTTTAGAATTAGAAACTTGATTGGGAACTCTGGCATGCAAAGTGTTCTTCGTTTGAATGAAAACATAAAATTTTCTAATAATATAATTTCCTAAGAAGCAACCAATCTCAGAATAACAAGTCTCAAACTCTCTTTTGTTCAACCACTTCACTAGTTTTGTGAATTATAACCCGTATTTGGGAACATCTGAGTCACAGGTACACAATAAAAACGGGGAGGCATATTATTTCTTTTCAGGTCTTTCAGCATGTCATGGGGCCTTGGGCGGCACTTTGGGAGTCCCTTTCACTTGGGGAATACGGACAGGCCATTCTAAAAAAGACGACTCCTGTCCAAACTGCACTCGAATGCTGCTATTCTCAAAATCCTGTTCCATCAGCTGGGTGGGGGGGGGGAGAGCAACCTCACTGTAATCGCCAACATGCCATTTCATGGTCTTGCCTTTTCTGAAACTGACTTAACATGTAAGCTGTAGTAGTAACACTTAGAATCTTAGCCTAGATGTTACCTGACATCACTTTACACGGTGCATGCTAATTTCCCAACATCCACCCACCCACTCCAGTACCACCCACCTTTCTCCCTCCCATACAAACAATAAATCAAATGAACTTTCATAGATTTAGGTGCTATTTTAAAAACATCAAAATTTTACTTTACCCATTCTCTCCGATGCTCCCTGTATTTTTTTAAGCTGTGAGTGGATGACCATGCTATGTGATCAACAACTGTGAAGGCTAAGCAAAAGTGAACTGAGTTTAGTATTGTAATTTCAAAAGAACCTTAAAGTTTGCAATATTTGACATAAATAATGGTATGCAGAATCCTTACTTACTGCATAGTATCAAGCATTAAAGGCAAGCAATTTATAAAAACAACTAATTCGTATTTCTTTTGTAAGAATTAGCTGAGAGCTTAGCTTAGGGATAACAGAAGAGAAAACTCAACAGCACACAAAGCAAATGGAAGCCTCCCCTAGTTTATAAATGGGGTAAAAGGGAAAGCCCTCCCATATTCTCCAGTGCGATAACCAAAGTTCTCCCCACAGAAATACTTGTTAGGGGCCAGGAGCCATTGTTGGCTTTGGACAGGGTAGCCACATGCCCTCTGAAATGAAATTCACACCCCTTCAGTGAAAGGAAAGCCAGACCTAAAAGGAAAGATGTCTAAGTGAAAGCTTTGAGCTTCTCATTTCCCTGTCCCCCAGAGCTCTTCAAATGCAAAAAAATGT